TACCAATTTTTCACTATCCGTCATCTGTTATCCGTTAATTTTCATCCGCTATTCATTATCCACTACTCACTACCGTTATCCGTTATTCACTATCTGCTATTTATTAAATTTTAATAACTATACCAAATAGGTTCTACATCATAAAACTACCCATGACTTTTAAATTATAGAAAGTGGGGAGTTATAGTTTGAAAAAATAGAACAAAAGAAAATTTTGGAAGAAAGAACACATTGCTAATCTTATTCAAAACCTGTAAATTTTATTCTTTCATTTTCTTTATAATTACTCAAAGGTTTTAAATTTCAGTACAACTTTTAATAAATCTAAATTATTTTTTATTATTTTAATAATTAAATTAATTTATGTATTCACTTTAATATTTTGTTTTATATAAAAAATTTTAAGCTTTGGCATTTGATCATTCGGGTCAATGACGTCAAGTCATATATAAACACATTTCTCCCCCTCACGAGGAAACGGTTTAAATTTAATCATTGTGATTTTGTTAAAAAAAACAAAATTTTTCAAGCTTTGAAATTTCTTTTAAGATATTGTGACTTTTCTGATGATAATTAGTCGGAAAAAGAAAAAAAATTTCCTTTTATGACTACAACGCTTTGAATTTTTTTATGGTTGCTAAGTTGGTTATTTGTCAACATAACCGACTACAACCCTTTGATTTTAGAAAGATATAAAATTCCAAGTCAAGTTAAAAGTTTTGTCGACGTAGGAAAAAATTTCCTAGCGAAGGAGTACCAAAGGCATCCATTAATTATTACCACGTTAGAAAACCCCTCCAACCTTTATGTCACATCATATGTATTTTAATACATATTTTTAAAATAATATATATTATTTGAAAGTACATAAATTTTATGATACAATCACTATAAATCGATTTATAAATTATATTTTTTATTTTAAAAATTATGATTCAAATCCCTTGCTTCAAATTATAAACATATTCAAAAAAAAATATATTTTTTGAAAATTATTTTATTTATTATATTTTTATTTGATATATTTAAAAAAATAATAAAAATTTATAAAAATATAATATTTATTAATTAAAATTTTATACTTATTTTTATTAATAAAGATGGTTGAAAAGTTAAGATGTGTTTTTATAAAGAATGGATTAAATACAATATCACTATCGTAAAATAAAATTTTTTTAACTTGAACATGTTAGTAC